CCCTCCGCACCATGCCCCTGCCCCGGGCCCCCACTCTGTGCCCACGGCACTGTGGGACTGAGTGCTTCTTTACATGAGGGACACGGGGGCTGCTGCAGGTCTTCCTACAAAAGTAGGTCTTTCTGGAAGAAAGGGGGCAAGTGTCACTAGTACTTAGCTCAATAGCTTAAGCAAAAAGGCTGACTAAATAGATACGTGAAAGAATAAACCATGATTCTGCTAGTAGGGGTTATCTTCTGGGAAACAACACATGATCCAAATCCCAGCTCCTGTTTACTATCTGTGTGACTGAGGATACCCATGTGTACGTCTCCACTGTGACATGGGGACAATAATGCTCACTGGTCACAGGAGAGAATCTAGGAAGTATGGGAAGGGCCCAGGACAGTAGTGGGACCCAGTGCTTGGGAACACTCCCTGCCCCACCCCCACCAGCTGCATTCTATCATCAGAAATTGGAGTAAACAATGAAAAACAAGTGTTGGTGGTAAATGAGGTGGAAAAGGGAAGGGGTTACAAGGTAGAGAATGGCCGCTGAAGGCGATAAGTGGGGGGTGGGGGGAGGCGTGAAAGGTCACTGTAGGGCAGGGGTCTCTTCCCACAGCAAAAGATTTAGTGACTCCAGCCAGAATTATGAGACTTAATTTTGTCTCTGGCAAAGATCTGAAAATCAGGAGGCTATAGAGTTCTGCTCCCCACTCAGTACCTTGAGCCTTTAATTCTTCCTCTAAATGAGGGGGTGGAGGGCTCACTTCCAAGGTCTCTGCTCCCTGTGCTCCATCACCCTGGAAATGCACTTATAAAAACCACGAGGCTCTCAGCTGGCGAACGGGAACATAAAATTAAGATGAAGTCAGAATATTTGAAACTGGGGCTGACTCTCAAATTCCAAGACCTAAAATTAATTAAGTCATTAGCTGATGGGCTAAACAGGAGACACCGCCCAAAGAATACGTAAATTAATGCTTTCAAAGGAGTTTGCAAAGCCCCCTGGGGATCTTACTAACATCTCCCCTCCCCCAAACTTTGCCTAAAACTACAAAGCAAGCGGGGGAGAGAAAGGAGAGAGGGGGAGAGAGAGAGAGAGAGAGAGAGAGAGAGAGAGAGAGAGTGTGTGTGTGTGTGTGTGTGTGTTTAAGGACTTTCTTCAGTAAATACCAAGACTGGATAAACCTAACAGTTTTTGGACTGAAGTCTACTACGTATTTTTCCGTGGCTTACATAGGCGTAAGAATGGGGGACAGTCCACCGTATTGCCATACAATGGATATTCTCTTAAGCACTGCTAGGAAATGGGTGTAAATTGTAGGAACCAAGCAAGGAACAGAGGAAAAATAAGGTTTGTGGGAGGTGCATCTTGCAGGATCTTGCAAACAATAGGCACTTACTAACTCCCTTCTCCTCCCTTCCCAGATAGCAACTAGCTTTCAAGGACTGGCTCGGCTTTAAGAAGTCGTCCAGTTCTGAAGGAAAAATCAGAACCATCACAACTTATGGAACGGATAATCAGTGCCAGAAAAGTGATCTACCATATCTAATAACTATAGCAGTTCCTACTCATAAAAACCACTACCTTTCCTGCCTCCCCCCAAAAGAAATGTTGTGTCTGCAACATAAAGATAGAAGAGAGAAATCCCATAGGATCCTAACTTGTTTCACACTTCTCTGCAGAAATGTAAGCATGTTGTCGTGAAAGGCGACATGCTTTGAAAACCCAGGCGGACCACATGGTGCGGAGTTAGGGAACTGAAGAACAAATTTCACAAGAGAGCCATGCTCTGATTGTTCAGGGTTTACAAACATTTCACAATCTGTCATTACTGTTTTCCAGGATTCTGGTTTGTATGATGAAACTGCTCGAGTGGTAGTTCAAGGAAGAGCAGAATTTATTAATGTCTTCATAAATCTACCCCATTGCAGCAGGTACGGTCTCTACAATACTGGGCTTTGATGTGGCTCTTGCATTTCAGAAGTATATACTTTCTTCCTTTTCCATTCAATAAAACCTTGTACTCAGGACCCAGTAAGTCCCAAGTACCAGAGATTTAAAAAAGGGGTGGGGGGTAAAATACTGACCCTGCCCTCCAGGCACTCACAAGGGCTAGTGTTTTGGTAAGCTCATTTTCTCCGAATTCTCTATTTACATATTCACTTACTAGCATTTATTCATTCTAGCACAGCTCCAACATTTTCATGCCATAAATTATACTACTATTTCTTCTCTAAATAAGCATTTGTAAACAAATTATCTAAAAGCAACTGGTTGGTTCAGAACTGTGCAGGACTGAATTAATTTAAATGTATCCTAGTGAACTCCAACAACCATCCTGTATTTACTGAGATCTACGCCCCAGAGGGTTAGAAACCTACAAAATCCCTGGGGCGGATGCTCAGTGCCTCTCAAGTTGGAAAAGGGAGCTGTGCTCATTCACCTAAAAAATATTTAACTTAACAGGCTTGGAGGTTTGATTTCTACACTTCGTGGAATCCAAAAAGTAAAGTAGCTACTGTGCCTGAAGCCTTGCAAGTATGTTTGGATGTATAATTCCCCTACTACCTCTACTCCCCTCAAGTTCCGTCCTTTAAAAGATGCTTCCAAATAGCATTTTCCTAAAATACTGGATGTAATTACATTTTTGCTGTGTTGATCTGGGACAGTTAACTGGGGAGTATCATGGCATCAGCCTATACTGAGAACTGGGGTACAGTCTGTCATTGTCACCAACAAGGTGTCTGTGCCATTAGTCAAGTCATTTCACCTGTACAAGCTGACAGACTGCAAATCTTATTCAAAAAATGGAGGAAATGGTTTCTTTTATCTCAGAAAGAACAAAGAAGTCAACTGTCAATTATCTTGATACATTTCTAGAAAGACAGTTTCCTCTAAACACGTGAATGATTATTTTCTAAAAGCAGAAAGAGTAAAGATCCTTTGAAGGTGGTGACTTTTTACAGACATGCAAAAGGAGAGATAAACCGTATCTTCTTCTGAATTTTACTAAGGAACAATCCTGATGCCCACGTTTACCCCTAAAGGAAAATAAGATTGTCTAAAAGATGGGAAAGCAGAAGTGAACATACTTGCTTTGGGACAATCATTTACATTCTTTCCAGCCTTGTACTGAACTACTGGCTCTGTAAGAAGTACATATTTTCTTTTCTCCTACATCTGCCCTTTGAATAACAGGTTTGAGCTTCTCCAGTCCCACCCCATCTTTTAAATCAGCCAAAGAATACTCTGTCACAACTGACCCAACAGCACTGGAATCTGCCAGGGAAGGGAAAGCAAATCTTCAAAAAGTGCCACCTGCCAACCACCCCCACCAAGCAACCCTGAGCCCACACTCCCATTTAAATGAGCCCCTTCAGCACTCCCCTCCATAGCCACACCTGAGTAAGGGATGCAATGTGATGTTATCAAACCAATTTTCTCAGTGACTAAAAATTTACAGAGCAGAATCTAAGAAAGAAATAACAAGGTAAGTTCCTGCCTGACTGACATAAAAAACAGTCTATCACTATAACTTTAAAGTATTCATTGGATTTTCTGAAATTTTACTAAAGGCCCATATTCATCAATAAAGTTCAGAAAATGCAAAAACTTGAGATTTAAAATTTTTTAAAAACATACTTTTTCTAAATACTAGAGAGTGAAAAAAGCAGAAATCTTCAGTCAGTCTTCCCTGGTTTTCCTAAACACCAATGAACACCTAAATATGAGTTAGGTGAGACTTACGGATGTCTGGAAAGATGAGACACAGGACTATTTGCAGGGGGGAAAAATAGACAGCTATCACTTATTGAGTACCTATTATATGCCAGTATGCTGAGCACTAGACATGCATCAACATAACTAAAACTCAGAGAATCTAAAGCAAGGTAATGAAACTGAAGATCTCGTTTCTTTGCCTCATTTTTTAGGTAATGAAACTTGAAGATCAGTGGGGTTGAATACCTCGGCCAAGGTCAAGCAGTCAGTCAAAAAGGGACAGTGGGGATTTGGCCCAGCCTCACTCACTCCAAAGCCCAAGTGCTTAATTCCAGTGCAAAAACAAACAAACAAACAAACAAACAAAACCCAGCAACACTTCTCATCAACCCCAAAGGAGAGTTTCTTTTCAAAAACTACACATTCCATCAGAAAGATAAAAGACCCCAAAGTAAATAGAGAGACTTTTCAGACAACTGCCAATTCCAAATCTTTACAGTGAAATTGACTCTTCCTGTGTAGATTAAGATGTTTGACTGTAATAACGCCCACCCATCTGATTCCGGGCTACCTGCCTACCTACAGCTCCATCAAAATACATCTACTAATTCCCCAGGGTTTTGAACCCTGAACAAGTGAAAGCTTCATCTCCATGCATAAGCACTATTTTCCAGAAATTATGCCAAATCCATGGGCGGTTTTAGTTACTGGGCATTTCAAAATACACGACAATACAGATTCAGCGAAATAAGTCCTATTGTTTTTCGTTCCAAACATAAAACAAATATCCTGTAATGCTACAAGTTGAAAAACTGCATACAGAGTAATAAGGGTATTCTTGGGCGGTTCTGAGAAGATGGTTGTTTTCCTCTCGTGGTCAGACAACAAATGGTGAAGAGATAAACATCAGTCCCATCAGCCTCTTTCCCAGTCCAACTGTGAAAGCACAACAGCCAAGTACTACTTATTTACATCTACTCTTTGCAGGAAGCTTTCCAGCCTTTTCCACACCGACCTCTCAGCAGGTGTCCCAGATTAAACTGGTGACCATCGCACCCGATTGTTTAAAGAAAGATCTTTCATGGGATCTGGGGCTGGTTATTTTTTAATTAGGGCTTGAAATCCTATACGGTGTGTATTCAACCCCCCTGGGACCGACAGCGAGAGAAGGACAACTCCGAGGAGTGGGCTTGCCAGCTCCGGCGAGCGCGAACCGAGCGCGAGTCGCGGAGAGAGCTGTCCCGCCCGGGGGCCTGTGCCCCGCCCCTCCCGCCGGCTCCAGGTAACTCACCAGGATGCCCATCACGTCGGTCCAGAGCCGGGAGAACGCCTCGGACATGCCAGCGCCCCCCTCGGGCTCCGGCTCGGGTTCGGGCTCCGGCTCGGGTTCGGGCTCCGGCTCGGGTTCGGGCTCCGGCCCGGGGCCGGCTGCTCCCGCGTCCTCCATGGCCGCGTCCCGCGCGCGCGCTCGCCGGCGGTGCGTCCGGGTCGGGTCCCCCCGGGCGCCCTCGCTCCGCACCAGCGCGCGGCCGGCCCCCCGGCGCCGGTCCCCGCCCGCCGCGTCAGCGAGCCGCGCCCCCGCGCCGCATGCCCCGGCCGCCCCGGCGACCCCGCGGGGGCACCCTCGCAGGCGCCCGCACCTCGGCCCTAGGCGGCAGCGGGCCGCGCTACTGACAACTCCAGAAACTTTGTCAGCCCGGCTCGGCGCGGCCGCGGGGTAGCAGGAGGCAAAGTCCGCACCACCGAGTGGTTCGGCGGGGAGCGCCGCGGCCCCGCGGCAGTTAAAGCCGCTGCAAAGGCGGTTCTTCCTGGGACCGGGACGGGCTGGCGAAGGCGCTCGACTCGTCCCTTCCAGCAAGTCTGGGCAGGGCCCCGCTGGGCTGAGCGCGGGGCCTCTGCCCCTGGGCGGGCGCGCCTCGGGACCCCTCTCTCGAAAATGAGCTCTTCCAGCTCCACATGACTCTCTCCCCTCGACGCGAAAGAAAGCGTTTAGCAACAAAAGGTGCTCTGATGTCAGGCTCTTTGCATGGAAATGAGCCACAGGCAGGAGAACAAATCGCCTGTTGAAAGAGCAGCCGCGCGGCGGCTCCCGCCGGCCCAGGCTCCCAATCGCGCCATTCACTGAAGCCTTTTCGGTCCCAGCAACTCGAGATCTTGAACCTCCTCTCGCCGAAAGAGTTTCCCCGAGTCGTCGGTGTGGTTGAACAACCCGTACCTCGCCCCTCGCGAAGTCGAGCGACCTCAGGAAATAAAACTCTGCAACCCGCAGCCAGGACTTGCCACAACAAGTGGGAAAGCTTGGGCACGAGCCATTGTGTGCACCGTTTTTTACCACGAGCGGGACAGTTTGGTTCCTGGATGCTCACAGTGCCCTCCATTGCTGGGGGTTTCAGCTATTTAGGGAAAATGAGCTTCAGGTTTTAATGGTTGCCTTACAGCGAGGGCATAGGGAAAGGCCGTTTTCAAAACTCCAGGTTACGGTTGTAACCGTTTAGCCAACACACACTCTGGGTCCCACGTGTGTGTTTTCCCAAGGACAAGGTCCATGACGGATTTATTTTAGAGGGAAATAGCCCTGTAGAGGTATTTATCCTTTTCTGATTCGTTCTTTAAAACCCACTCTGAGCATTTCCTCTGGGAGATGACAATACATGTCACATCTGATTTGGTGACTGATCACTTCGCCAAACAGTTAAGAAATGTAAGGATACAGATGTAGTGAAAAGAAGGGCCATCTGTACCCCAGTGTTCATAATCCCAATGGTCATAGTCGCCAAACCATGGAAAGAACCGAGATGCCCTTCAACAGAAGAATGGATAAAGAAGCTGTGGTCCATATATACTATGGAGTATTATGCCTCCATCAGAAAGGACGAATACCCAACTTCTGTATCAACACGGACGGGGCACTGGAGGAGATGATGCTGAGTGAAATAAATCAAGCAGAGAAAGTCAATTATCGTATGGTTTCACTTACTTGTGGAGCATAAGGAATAACATGGAGGACATTGGGAGAAGAGGAGGAGAAGTGAGTGGGGGGAAACCGGAGGGGGAGACAAACCATGAGAGACTGTGGACTCAAACAAACTGAGGGTTTTGGAGAGGAAGGAGGTGGGGGGTTGGGTGAGCCTGGTGGTGGGTATTATAGAGAGCACACGCATTGCATGGAGCACTGGGTGCGGTGCATAAACAATGAATTTTGGAACACTGAAAAAAATTAAAATAAAAAAAAAGAGAAAAAAAAGAAAGAAAGAAAGAAAGAAAGAAAAATGAGAGAAACAGCTCCAAAGTGAAAGGACTGAGTGGTACAAAAAAGCAGGTGAGATGCCCCAGGCAGAAAGCCCTTACTTGCTTTAGAGGCCTCTCCAGGTTTTCGTTTTGTTTTTCCTTCTGAGTCCACATAAAAGGAGGGGAATAAGATCATGTCCTTGAAATCCCCTTCCTAAAGCAATAATTACTGGAAACACCTATCAATGCAAATGGGCATATAGCCCTTACAGGAAAGTTCAAAACTGAAAAAACTTTTCCAAAAGTAATTACACTTAGCAGTATATAACCCCTGATGATGAAAATCCCTGACTTTTGAAAAGCAAGAAAAAGAATGAGAAAGTTTTCCCTTGAGAGTAAGTAGGCATCATGTTGAAGAGTGAGGAGTGCTGGGCACTGAGTCAACATGGCCAGCCTAGTGCTTTCCTGGGTTGATGCAGGAGGTATACCAGATACACGCTCTCAGAGGCTGCGTTGGGGAGGGCTAAATTTCCAGCACCAACCATGACTCTTACTTCTTGACTCATCAGAGAACCTAAGGGCAAAGCATTTAACCTTTCTGTGCTATAGTTTCCCAATCCTAGATGAGGCAAGGCCTAACTAATTGCCACCCAACTCCTCAGAGGTGATATTATATTTCAGGGTCATCTAAAGATAGGTACTTTTTAACAACACATATACACCTATCAATATAATTAAACCTTAACCAGCATTTTGGCACTTCTAGAAATCACCCTACCCTAGATATTAAAGTTCCTTTTCTCGGTGCTCAATAATAAGTAACATTTGGTGGCATTGGAGGGGGGGATGTCGATACCTATAATTTTGCTGTCTATGGATAAATAAGAACTGTGGAGGAGGAGTCACTATTCGACTTCTACAACATTAATAATTCTGTTAGCCATTTAAAAAGTGAAGCTGAACTTCTCTCAACTTCATAATGCATATACTCAAAATGAGTCCAATTACTTCTCCCAAATTTGAGTCTTTTCTCCTTTAGTTAATGTCAATCATTACTTTCAAAAATTTCTTTAGGGGCTTTTTAACAAATGTAAGAGAATGATCATCAGCATCATGATCAAAATACATAGGAATCCTGCTCTCCCTTTCTTCCATTTCAGGACTCACTCTCATCTAGCTAATTGGAATTGTTATGGTGTTGGTGAATGAATTCCAAGGCAAGAAAGGGATCTAGAAGATTTTCCAGAAATCTAGTGGAGACCCAAAAGTTGATTATGAAAAAATTCTGTGAGTCCTAATAAATATTTATTGCAAGGAAGGAAGAGCATCAGAATGTATTCATAGGGGCACCTGGGTGGCTCAGTTGTTAAGCGTCTGCCTTCTGCTCAGGTCATGATCCCAGAGTCCTGGGATTGAGCCCTGCATTGGGATCCCTGCTCAGGGGGAAGCCGGCTTCTCCCTCTCCCACTCCCCCTGCTTCTGTTCCCTCTCTCGCTGTGACTCTTTCTATCAAAATAAATAAATAAATAAATAAAATCTTTAAAAAAATGTATTCATAGAGAGTAAATATTAATAATACCTGTCTCACTGTTATTTCTTAAAAATTAGTCATTGCACATATATATGTGTACACATATGTATATATCTACGCAGGCATATATGTATAAATGTAAATATGGCTTCCTGTGTAAAAAGTAGTTCTTGCTATGAGTCAGGATCTTAATAGGTTAAAAGTAACTAGTCTAGAAATTGTAGGGTGTTACCTGCAGCCTATTTAGGTCGTCATTCTGACATAAGAAAGATAACCGGTCTATTGCTTGACATTAAAGGTGGAGTTAATATAATGGGATCAGGACAGAATTGGGTTTGGATTTTCACTCAAGTTGTTATAAGACATTGGACAAGTTATTTTTTTTCATGTGTAAAATGAGATAATTCCATCTATGTAATATGATTGTTTTGAGGTTATTTGTAATAATGAGGGCAATAATTCTCTATGAATTAGAACCTCTTCCCCCTTTTCCCTCCCTTTGCTTTTCCTTCCCCTAACCACTCCTAGCATGAGGTGATAGCTATAAGCTTCCTTGTTTATACCTTACTCTTATACAAAGGGGTAATTCTTAGTCTTGGAATGTAGTTGCTGACTAAAGGACCAGAGAGTCACCTCTGGCAGGGTGGGGTGATGAGGACCGGTCAGTTTTTACAGTCAGCATAGTAAGAACAGCAAGAACAACATCTGTCATTTACTGCAAATCTACTTTAGGTCAAGCATCCCCTGTGACATTTTAAAAATATTTTAGTTAAATGGAGTTTATGATTTCTCACCACGATCTAACCCCTCCTCCTGCTCATTTCCCATTTCAGTCCTTGTTACTTCCATGTATTTGTTCAAGCTACAGAAGTCAAGAGACCAACTTGGGTCCTTCCCCTCACTTACCAATACTCCTGTCTACACCACGGATAAGCCTGTTGATTACTGCTTCCTGAATACTTGTCAAACTCATCCACTTCTCTTGATCTCCACTGCCACTGTCTTAGTCAATTCTACCACCAGCACTTTTTACAATATTTTATCTAGATCACTGCTTCTCAACATGCAGACTTAAGAACAGAAGCATTGGGGGCGCCTGGGTGGGTTAAAGCCTCTGCATTCTGCTCAGGTCATGATCCCAGCGTCCTGGGATCCAGACCCGCATCAGGCTTTCTGCTCAGCAGGGAGCCTGCTTCCCCATCTCTCTCTGCCTGCCTCTCTGCCTACTTGTGATCTCTGTCAAGTAAATAAATAAAAGTCTTTAAAAAAAAATAATAAAAAAGAATAGAAGCATTGGCATCCCCTAGGAACTTGTTGGAAATGCACATTTCTGGGCCCGCCCCAAGCCTACAGAATGAGACAATCTGGGGGCAATGGAACCAGCCATCTCTACTTTAACAAGCCTCCTGCCCTCTCCCACCAAGGTGATTGTGTTATCTGTTCACATTTGAGTGCCATTTGGAACTATGGAAGTGTCAGAATAAGGAAAAAGAACACATTGTTAAGGAAATGTGAAGTTTTAACATGTATTGGGTACCTGGGTGGCTCAGTTGGTTAAGTGTCTGTCTTCAGCCCAGGTCATGATCCCAGGGGTCCTGGGCTTGAGTTCCACATCAGGCCCCATGCTCTGTGGGTAGTCTGCTTGTGCCTCTCACTCTGCCCTGCTTGTTCTCTCTCTCTGTCTCAGTCTCTCTCAAATAAATAAATAAAGTCTTAAAAATAAATAAAATATATTGAAAAACCATACCATTAGATTGGTAAAAGGAACCGTCATAAGATAAATAGGAAAGAGTAGGATTCCAAAGACAATTCCCTCTCCATGCTTCCTGTTTTCCTCTCTTAGGTATCAAGTCTCCACAGGACACTTCTCATATGAATTCAGAAGTAGCTTCATGAGTTGAAGTCTTGTGGTTCTTTGCCTTAAATCTTGTGAATTCAGATCCCCAAATCCGACACTTGGTTTTAAACAGCAATTAAATATTGGAATTAAAATGTATTATCCATAAGATAGTACATGTTTTAGGAGCACAGCTTCATTTAAATACTTGGGTTTTGTTTTTTTTTTTTTTAAGACAACACCATAGTCTGCACAGAAAATGTGAGATTAGATAGAGATTAAGTCTGGAAGATTATAAATAGTCCAATTTATTTTTTACCATACTGCCTTCTGAAATTGAGCACTGAAAATAGATAAGCTCATTTAATTTTTGCCTACCATCAGCAGCCCCCTCTGGCACTCCAACTCAACAATGCCTCGGGGATCTAACTTTAAGCAAAGACTGAAATGCTACATTTTTTCCCCTTGACCATAATCCCAAACAATTTTTTTTACAAATGCCTTAAAGGTGAACCAAGCCCCTGCTTAAGCATTACCTGTTTAAAAGCCTCTTCAGCTCAAAATATTCAGTAAGAGAGATGAGAAAAGAGCTCAGAGC